TTAATGCTTAGTTGGGTAACCTTTAGCGTGAATTACAACCTTACAATGTCTTCCCATGGAGTGAACCAAGTCTTTTAGTTCTGCAGCTGTTCTAATGTGAAACCAAGATTGAATGATGGCTTCTATTAACTGGGGTTTATTGCTGGGTCGCTCTTGACTAACAAGTTTCTTTATTTGGCTCCATAGATTTTCCATTGGGTTAACGCTGTGGTAAAATCCAATTTTTTTTTACTACCGGTTCTGTGGGCGTGGCTTGGTGGCCGTGCCAGGGGAAGGATACTGCAAAATCCCCATTCCCTCCCCACTCTTGGGTGGAAGGATACTGCAAAATCCCCATTCCTGGGGGAAGGATGTTGCAAAATCCCCATTCCCTCCCCACTCTTGGGTGGAAGGATACTGCAAAATCCCCATTCCCTCCCCACTCCTGGGGGGAAGGATACTGCAAAATCCCCATTCCCTCCCCACTCCTGGGGTAAGGACACTGCAAAATCCCCATTCCCTCCCTACTCCTGCGGGAAGGATGTTGCAAAATCCCCATTCCCACCCCACTCCTGGGGGAAGGATACTGCAAAATCCCCATTCCCTCCCCACTCCTGAGGGAAGGATGTTGCAAAATCCCCATTCCCTCCCCACTCCTGAGGGAAGGATGTTGCAAAATCCCCATTCCCACCCCACTCCTGGGGGAAGGATACTGCACAATCGCCATTCCCACCCCACTCCTGGGGGAAGGATGTTGCAAAATCCCCATTCCCACCCCACTCCTGAGGGAAGGATACTGCTTTCAACCTGCAGGGAAGGTTCCTCCTCTCCCCCACGCAGGCAGAGCCCGGCGACCCCTCGACCTCCCTGCAGCCTCAGCCAGGACAGCCTAAGGAGGGCCCGGCCTCAGGCGCCCCAAAAGACCTTCAGTTCTCCCTCAACCGGCTTCCTTCGCTGCAAGGACCCGCTCAAGGTCGCTTCCACCCCCGGGAAAGGGGGGGAATCCCAGGCCCGGGGTCCCCGCGGCCTTCCCGGGTTGGCCGCTCCGCCTCCCCACCCGGCCGGCTAAACTGACTCACGGGGAGGCACCGCGCCAGCACCAGAAGGGGCTTCATCGCCGCTGAGGCCGCCCAAAGCTCCGTCCCTCCCCGGGAAAGAAACCAAGATGGCCGCGGCGGAAGCGACAAGCGGAAACGGTCGGGACTTCCCAGCCTGCCCCGCGCGCCCTCCCTTCCTCCCTCCCTTCGTCTCTAACGCAGAACCATAGAGCTTGGGGACGTTCGAAGGTGACGTGGGGTTTTCTAACGGGGAGTCGGTTGGGCTAGAGCGTCCCGCTTTTGAATCGAAGGGAGAGCAACGAGTCCCGGCAAGAACGTCCGGTTGTAAGGCGGGCAGACGGGCAGACTTCTCCCATTAGGCGGGGAGTTGGAAAGGACTCCTGCCCCGCCCCCTCCTTTAAAGCCCCGCCCCCTCCTTTAAAGCCCCGCCCCCTCCTTTAAAGCCCCGCCCTCTTCCCCCAGGTAATAAGGATTTTTTTCCCCTGTTCTCATTTTTTTAAAGCGATCGCGAGACCCGTTTTAAGAAAGGGGATATTTAACAGGAGCAAGAGTCGGAAGGGACCTTTAGAGGTCATCTAGCCCAACCCCCTGCTCCCTACCTGTCCTAGGATTCGAACCGGCGACCTTTCTGATCGACAAGCTCAGCGTCTTAGCCACTGAGCCACCTAGTCATGAGCGTCATTAACTAGTAGATCATTAAAGGAACCTCTCGCCCCGAATCGTTTGGGAAATAAAAAATAAAAAATCCTCCCCAAAACTGAAATGTAACCAGAGGACTTTCAGGTAACAGATGTGGGGGGGGGAAAAAAATCTCAGCATTTTAGTCCCAGAGGGGAATAAGAATATTTAATCCGGATTTAAACATTGGGGAGTGGCAGCTGTAGGAGGAAGAAAGTCTGCAATGTGATGAAGAAGGAAAAAAGTGTGTTTGGTGGCTTCAGCCGCCACCCTTAGAGGCTCCGGGCTGCATTATTTATCGTGGCACAGATGCTCTAGGACTGCATCTCCCATCATCCCCAGAAGATGCGGGGCTGCATCGCCTATCAAATCAAATGTTTATTACGGTTATAGATCAGCCTAGTATGTCCCATCATTCCCAGATGCCCCAGCCTGCATCTTCTATCATTCCCAGAGGCTCCGGGCTGCATGTCCCATCATCCCCAGATGCCCAGCCTGTATCTCCCATCATCCCCAGAGGCTCTGGACTGTATCTCCCATCATCCCCAAATGCCAAGCCCGCACCTTCCATCATCCCCAAGTACCCCAGCCCACATCTCCCATCATCCCCAAGTACCCCAGCCCGCATCTCCCATCATCCCCAGAGGCTGCATCTCCCGTCAATTCAAATCAAATGTTTATTATGGATATAGATCAGCCTAACATATCCCATCATCCCCAGATACCCAGCCCGCATCTCCCATCATCCCCAGATACCCCATCCTGAATTTCCCATCATCCCCAGGTGCCCCAGCCAGCATCTCCCATCATCCCCGGACGCCCCAGCCTGCATCTCCCATCATCCCCAGACCCCAAAACCTGCATCTCCCATCATCCCAGACGCCCCAGCCTGCATTTCCCATCATCCCCAGATACCCCATCCTGAATTTTCCCATCATCCCCAGGTGCCCCAGCCAGCATCTCCCATCATCCCGGACGCCCCAGCCAGCATCTCCCATCATCTCCAGACGCCAAAACCTGCATCTCCCATCATCCCCAGACGCCCAGCCTGCATCTCCCATCATCCCCAGATACCCATCCTGAATTTCCCATCATCCCCAGGTGCCCCAGCCAGCATCTCCCATCATCCCCGGACGCCCCAGCCAGCATCTCCATCATCTCCAGACGCCCAAAACCTGCATCTCCCATCATCCCCAGACGCCCCAGCCTGCATTTCCCATCATCCCCAGATGCCCCAACCTGCAGCTTCCATCATCCGCAGAGGCTTCGAGTTGCATCTCCCATCATCCCCAGACGCCCCAGCCAGCATCTCCCATCATCCCTGGACGCCCCAGCCAGCATCTCCCATCATCCCCGGACGCCCCAGCCTGCATCTCCCATCCCCGGACGCCCCAGCCTGCATTTCCCATCATCCCCGGACGCCCCAGCCTGCATCTCCCATCATCCCCGGACGCCCCAGGCTGCATTTCCCATCATCACCAGATGCCCCAACCTGCAGCTTCCATCATCCGCAGAGGCTTCGAGTTGCATCTCCCATCATCCCCGGACGCCCCAGCCAGCATCTCCCATCATCCCCAGACGCCCCAGCCTGCATTTCTCATCATCCCCAGACGCCCCGGGCTGCATCTCCCATCATCCCCGGACGCCCCAGCTGCATCTCCCATCATCCCCAGGCGCTCAGGGCTGCATCTCCCATCATCCCCAGACGCCCCAGCCAGCATCTCCCATCATCCCGGACGCCCCAGCCTGCATCTCCCATCATCCCCAGACGACCCCCAACCTGCATCTCCCATCATCCCCAGACGCCCCAGCCCGCATCTCCCATCATCCCCAGACGCCCCGGGCTGCATCTCCCATCATCCCCAGACAACCCAGCCAGCATCTCCCATCATCCCCAGACGCCCCAGCTCGCATCTCCCATCATCCCCAGACGCCCCAGCCTGCATTTCCCATCATCCCCAGATGCCCCAACCTGCAGCTTCCATCATCCGCAGAGGCTTCAAGTTGCATCTCCCATCATCCCCAGACGCCCAGCCAGCATCTCCCATCATCCCCGGACGCCCCAGCCTGCATCTCCCATCATCCCCGGATGCCCCAGCCTGCATCTCCCATCATCCCCAGACGCCCCAGCATGCATCTCCCATCATCCCAGACACCCCAGCCTGCATCTCCCATCATCCCCGGACGCCCCAGCCTGCATCTCCCATCATCCCCAGACGCCCCAGCCTGCATCTCCATCATCCCCAGGCGCTCCAGGCTGCATCTCCCATCATCCCCAGACGCCCCAGCCTGCATTTCCCATCATCCCCAGATGCCCCAACCTGCAGCCTCCATCATCCGCAGAGGCTTCGAGTTGCATCTCCCATCATCCCCGGACGCCCCAGCCTGCATTTCCATCATCCTGACACCCCAGCCAGCATCTCCCATCATCCCCGGACGCCCCAGCCTGCATCTCCCATCATCCCCGGAAGCCTCAGCCTGCATCTCCCATCATCCCAGACACCCCAGCCTGCATCTCCCATCATCCCCAGACACCCCAGCCTGCATCTCCCATCATCCCCAGACGCCCCAGCCAGCATCTCCCATCATCCCAGACGCCCCAGCCAGCATCTCCCATCATCCCCAGATGCCCCAGCTCGCATCTCCCATCATCCCTGGACGCCCCAGCCTGCATCTCCCATCATCCCTGGACGCCCCAGCCTGCATCTCCCATCATCCCCGGACGCCCCAGCCTGCATCTCCCATCATCCCCGGATGCCCCAACCTGCATCTCCCATCATCCCCGGACGCCCCAGCCTGCATTTCTCATCATCCCCAGATGCCCCGGGCCGCATCTCCCATCATCCCAGGCGCTCAGGGCTGCATCTCCCATCATCCCCAGACGCCCCAGCCTGCATCTCCCATCATCCCCGGACGCCCCAGCCTGCATCTCCCATCATCCCCGGACGCCCCAGCCTGCATCTCCCATCATCCCCAGGCGCTCAGGGCTGCATCTCCCATCATCCCCAGACGCCCCAGCCTGCATCTCCCATCATCCCCAGGCGCTCAGGGCTGCATCTCCCATCATCCCCAGACGCCCCAACCTGCACCTCCCATCACTCCCACTTCCCGTGGAAAGCGCAGCTGTTCCACTACTATCCCGCGCGTGGCTCCCGGGCGCCCGCTTGCAAAACGGAGCCCCCGCGCCCCCTTCCCTTCCCTTCCCTTCCCCAGCGCGGACGGGCAGAGCTGCGGGCGGCTCCCCGGGCTCCGGGCTCCGCGCCCGCTAGGCGGTGCTGGGCGCTGCGGTGGGGGCGGGCAGCCCTGGGCGGTGGCCGGGAGAGAGAGGGAGCGAGCCCCTTCCCTGCCCAGCTCGCCTCCGTCCCCGCCGCCAGCATGAGCTCCGCGCCGCTCTTCCTGGACGCCGGGGCCGTGCGGAAGCACTGGCCCGCCTCCCGCGCCCTCCTCCCGGCTCTGGAAGCCGCCTTGGCCGCCTTCTCCAGCGGAGCCCCGGGCGGCGTGGTGCAGCCGCTGCGCACCGTCTTCCCGATCCAGAAGCACAGCGGGTAAGAAAGCGAGCCCCGAGGGGAGAGAGGGGGCATCTGGCTTTCTTTCTTTCTTTCTTTCTTTCTTTCTTTCTTTCTTTCTTTCTTCTCTGTTTATCTATCTATCTCTCTATCCATCCATCCATCCATCCAATTTATATGCCGCCCTTCCAATCTGGGGGGAATCTCAAGCCGGACTTGATTGATTGATTGATTGATTGATCCATCCATCCATCCATCCATCAATTTATATGCCACCCTTCCAATCGGGGGAATCCCAAGCCAGACTTGATTGATTGATTGATTGATTGATTGATTGATTGATCGATCGATCCATCCATCCATCCATCCATCCATCCATCCATCCATCCATCCACTGGCGGGCCACAACAGTATGTATGTATATATGTATGTATGTATCTATCTATCTATCCATCCATCCATTCATCCAATTTATATGCCACCCTTCCAATCGGGGGGGGGGGGAATCCCAAGCCGGACTTTCTTTCTTTCTTTCTTTCTTTCTTTCTTTCTTTCTTTCTTTCTTTCTTTCTTTCTTTCTTTCTTTCTTTCTTTCTTTCTTTCTTTCTTTTTCTTTCTTAGTTTATTATTTATTAGTCCAATTTATATGCCGCCCTTCTCCGTAGACTCAGGGCGGCTTACAATGCATTATAGCAATAGCCTGCATACTTTTTTGTATTTACCTGCTTATTAGGGCTTTCGGCCCCCCCTTTAAGCAGTCTTGTTCTATACAAAGTCGGCTTATTGCCCCCACAATCCGGGTCCTCAATTTACCTACCTCGAAAGGATGGAAGGCTGAGTCAACCTTGAGCCTGGTGAGATTCCGAACTCCCGCTAATTGCAGGCAGCTGGCAGCTAAGTGCTAGCGCTTAACCGCACTTTAGTCTGCTGCACCACCGAGGCACTCTTTGGAGAGAAGCACCTCCTTTTGGAGGCTGGGACCCCCACTTTTCTCTGCCACCCTCCCCCCCGTAAAGCCCCCGCTAAAGAGGCAACCTAGCGGCCTGCAGCTCGATGGTGGGGATGACCAGCTTTACGGTCGTCACGGCTTACAACCGTCTCGGCAGGGTTCAAATACGGTCGTAACTTGTACCTCTTCCTTTGTTTGTTCTCCGAAGCTTTTTAGGGGTCATGCCCGCCTACAGTGCAAACGACGATGCACTGACAACCAAGCTGGTGACCTTTTATGAGAATGTGTCTCCTTCGCACCAAGCGACGGTCCTGTTGTTCGACCCAACGAACGGCACCCTCAAAGCGGTAAGCTCTGGAGACCTTCCTCCTCGACGGACAGCACAGGCAGGGAGGGATTGAGCAGCTGGATTAGCTGGGGAGCTCAAGTTTGGTTAAGGCACCAGGCTAGAAATTGGGAGTTCTAGTATTGCCTTAGCCAGCTGGGTGACTTTGGGCCAATCACCAGGTGACGGTGAATTCTAGTCCCACTTTAGCCATGAAAGCTGGCTGGGTGACTTTGGGCCAATCACCAGGTGACGGTGAATTCTAGTCCCACTTTAGCCATGAAAGCTGGCTGGGTGACTTTGGGCCAATCACCAGGTGACGGTGAATTCTAGTCCCGCCTTAGGCATGAAAGCTGGCATCCCCCTGGCCGCGTGATCCAAATTCAGACGCTTGGCAACTGGTTTCATATTTATGACGGTTGCAGTGTCCCGGAGTCAACTGATCCCCTTTTGCGACCGTCTGATAAGCAAAGTCCGTGAGGAAGCCAGATTCACTTAATCTGAAGTGTTACTACCTTAACAACTGCAGGGATTCCCTTAACCAATGCGGCAAGAAAAGTCGTAAAATGGGGCAAAACTCACTTCACAAATGTCTCGCTTAAGAACCATAATTCGGGGCTCTATTTTGGTCATAAGTAGAGGACTATCTTGTAATTGTGCAACCTGACACAACTAATGTCATTTACGATTGAACGGACACTGGAGAGCAATGGACACGCCCTTCTCCCAGTGGGTGTGTTAAATTCACGGCTTTCACAAAACTTGTTTTTTTATCTCTGTGTCTCGTGTTCGGGTCCTGCCCTTTTGATGTTCTTCTTTCCGAAAGCTGATGGATGGCAACGTCATTACAGCCAAGCGTACGGCAGCTGTTTCGGCAATAGCCACCAAGGTGAGTTCCTTCAAGTAGACAAAAGAAGGACCAGAAGCTGCCCAATTGTTATATGTTTATTTATTTATTTATTTGGAGAATTTATATGGCCGCCCGCTCACTCTCGGTGACTCTTGAGATGTTTAGCCCAGAGCAGTGGTGAAATTCAAATTTTTTAATCCTGGTTCTCTGGGCGTGGCTTGATGGGCGTGGCAGGGGAAGGATATTGCAAAATCCCCATTCCCTCCCCACTCCTGGGGGAAGGATATTGCAAAATCTCCATTCCTTCCCCACTTCAGGGGAAGGATACTGCAAAATCCCCATTCCCTCCCCACTCCTGGGGTAAGGATACTGCAAAATCCCCATTCCCTCCCCACTCCTGGGGGAAGGATATTGCAAAATCCCCATTCCCTCCCCACTCCTGGGGGAAGGATACTGCAAAATCCCCATTCCCTCCCCACTCCTGGGGGAAGGATATTGCAAAATCTCCATTCCTTCCCCACTCCAGGGGAAGGATACTGCAAAATCCCCATTTCCTCTCCACTCCTGGGGGAAGGATACTGCAAAATCCCCATTCCCCCCCCCACACTCTGGGGCCAGCCAGAGGTGGTATTTGCCGGTTCTCCGAACTACTCAAAATTTCCGCTACCGGTTCTCCGGAACCTGTCAGAACCTGCTGGATTTCACCCCTGGCGCAGAGGTCTTCAGCCAACATTTTCTAGGGATGTGGAGGACTATTCAGGTAGTCCTCGACTTACGACCATTGAACGACGGTTCAAGATGACAGCAGCCTTAGAAGAAGTACCTGCACTCACCATTACAACCAGTTCCTGGGGTCGTGTGATCACGGTTTGTGGCCTTATTTTTGCCAATTTCCGGCAATAAAGTTATTCTAAGTCTAAATCTAAATCTGAGTGATGGATACCAAACAAAACAAATCTGGCTTACCCCCTTGATTTTGCTTGTCAGAAGCCAGCTTTTGTGTGTGTGGTGGGGTGTGTGTGTTTCAGATGTTGATTGTGTGACCCTGGGATGCTACAGCCATCCTAAATACATGCCAAGCCACCCAAATTTAACCGGGAGCATTTTGCAACATGCGGACGTCCTTTATTGAAGAGAAGAAACGAGGCCATCGATTTTAGAGAAAGTCTTAAGTTGAAGAAGGTTCGTGTTTTAATAAGAATCCCCCCTTTTCCCCCCTCCCTAATGTGTGCATTTTCAGTATTTGATGCCTGCAGTTTCAGAAGTCCTCTGCATTTTAGGAGCTGGTGTCCAGGCCTACAGCCACTACGAAGTTTTCACAGAGCTGTTCTCATTTAAAGAGGTGGGTAATCCGATTTGGGACGTGGTGGCTCGGTGGCTAAGACGCTGAGCTTGTCGATCGGAAGGTCGGCAGTTCAGCGGTTCGAATCCCTAGTGCCGCGTGACGGGGTGAGCTCCCGTGACTTGTCCCGGCTTCTGCCAACCTAGCAGTTCAAAAGCACGTAAAAAATGCAAGTGGAAAAATAGGGACCGCCTTTGGTGGGAAGGGAACAGCGTTCCGTGCGCCTTTGGCGTTGAGTCATGCCGGCCACATGACCACGGAGACATCTTCGGACAGCGCTGGCTCTTTGGCTTTGAAACGGAGATGAGCACCGCCCCCTAGAGTCGGGAACGACTAGCACGTATGTGCGAGGGGAACCTTTACCTTTAATCCGATTTTACACCAGGAAAAAATCTATTGTTTTAAACCACACGAAGCCATTTCTGGATAGCTTAGATCTGTGTTTTGCAAAAGTGGCAACTTTAAGGGGGGTGAGGGGTGGGCTTCAACTCCCAGAATTCCCCAGAATGATTGTAGGTGTGAAAAACTGTCATAAGTTGCTTTTTTCAGTGCTATTGTAACTTCAAACGGTCTCTAAATGAACTGTTGTAAGTCGAGGACTACCTGTACTCTCTGCAAAATTAGCGAGGGTCCCTCCTGAAGCGTTTCCCACACTCTCCTTCCTCCTATGGGCTGAGACATCTTTTATCTGCCCGTTTTCCCATCTGTTTTCCCTCCTGTCTCCAAGGTCCTTCTCACACACCCTCTCTCAGGGTTCCGACGGATGCCCTAATTAAATCATGAGCCTCGAGCCAAGCTTCAAAAGAAATCCAGTTATTTATTAGGAGCTTCATGTTGGCACGTTCCAAGTGAAGCCAACTCTGACCCCACCTAATTTACGCCTCAATCATGACCCTGTTTCCCCCCTTCCCCCCAGGGTGTGTCATCAATCACATTCGCCAACGGAGCAATTTTGTAGAGCTCACTCCCCTCCGGCCGCTTTGGGTAACCCTGGGAGACAGCCTTGAGAGAGATATGTCTGGAATGTGTTTTCGTTTTTGGCTGCCGTGCTGCTTCGTCGGTTTCCCATCCCCCTTGCTTATGGCAACTCGAGAGCAAGCCAGGGATGTTTTGCGAGTTGACACCCTCTGTTTAATTTCCCGTGAAGGTTAGGATCTGGAACCGCACCAAAGAGAATGCAGAAAAGTTTGCTCGCACGGTGAATGGACCGGTACTGGTCTGTTCCTCGGTCCAGGAGGCTGTCAGTGGGGCGGATGTGATTGTCACAGTCACAATGGCGACTCAGCCCATCTTGCGCGGAGAGTGGGTGAAAGCCGGAGCCCATATCAATGGTAAGGGATGTGTCGCGATTTGATTTTTTTTTCTGCAATAAGATTAAACTGCAAGCTTGTTTTCCAAGTAAACTAGTGTGTGTGTGTGTGTGTGTGTGTGTGTGTGTGTGGTATATTTTTCTTGAGGTATGGGTTCGAATTGCAAAAAAAGAAAAAGAAGAAGGGATTTGAACCACCTATTAGACGATAATTCCTATCGAAACAAGAAAAAAAAGCTTGGAAAGCCACGTTGTATCCTCCGTTAAAAATGCCTTGATGGATGGCCTACCCTTAAAGGATGTTGTATATGCAGATTTCATGCCTTAGCCGGGGCTGAGCTATGTGGTCTCTAATGTTCCCCCATTTCTGTGCCTGTTTTCACAAACCCATGTACAATAACTACAAAAATAGGAGCTACGTTTCTACCACGTGCTAATTTTGGTTAGCCTGAACGTTGGAGAAGTTAATGGGTTGAGTAAACTCCAGCTATTTGGAAAGTTAATATCGAACTTAAATCCTGCAATGCAGGAAAAAATAGAAAATGTTTGACTTCTTTGCATTGGAATGGGCAAATCTGTCTGCCTGTGGCTTTGTCCTCATCTGTGCAAAAGGGACTCACTGGGCCCTGTTTGTCCGGTTTTTCCAGAAATAACTGACAATTTTTTGTTTTAGCTGTAGGAGCCAGCCGGCCTGATTGGCGAGAACTAGATGACAATGTAATGAGCAATTCGGTATTGTATGTCGATTCGAAAGAGGCAGCTCTGCGCGAATCAGGAGACGTTATTTTATCGGGGGTAAGGAAGTGAATCAGTTCTGTCCGTTTTCTCTTTCTTTCTTTCTTTCTTTCTTTCTTTCTTTCTTTCTTTCTTTCTTTCTTTCTTTCTTTCTCTCTCTCCCTCCCTCCCTCCCTCCCTCCCTCCCTCCCTCTCTCCCTCCCTCTCTCTCTCTCATTCTCTAGAGCTGCTGATCCAGTTCTACAGAGGAATTATTGAGTCTCTCATCTGCACCTCCATAACTGTCTGGTTTGGTTCTGCAACCCAACAAGACAGACACAAACTTCAGAGGATAATCAGAACTGCAGAAAAAACAGTGGCTACCAACCTGCCTTCCATGGAGGACCTGTATACTGCAGGAGTCAAAAAGAGGGCTGGGAAAATATCTACAGACCCCTCACATCCTGGACATAAACTGTTTCAACTCCTACCCTCAAAACGACGCTATAGAGCACTGCACACCAGAATAACTAGACACAAGGACATTTTTTTCCAAAACGCCATCACTCTGCTAAACAAATAATTCCCTCAACACTGTCAAACTATTCACTAAGTCTGCATTACTATTCTTCTTCTTTACTCTATCTGTTCCCACTTATGACTATAACCATGTTGCTTGTATCTTTCAATTTATATTGTTTTAGTTGTTTACTAGTACGATTTGATAGTTTATTAGTAACCTTGGCTATCACTAAGTGTCGTATCTTTTTATTTTTGATGAATGTGTTTTTATTCTCCTTATGTACACTCAGAGCATGTACACCTAACCTAAGACCAATTCCTTGTGTGTCCAATCACACTTGGCCAACAAAGAATTCTATTCTATTCTATTCTATTCTATTCTATTCTATTCTATTCTATTCTATTCTATTCTATTCTATTCTATTCTATTCTATTCTACTCTACTCTACTCTACTCTACTCTACTCACTTTCTTCTTTCTTTCTTTCTCTTTCTTTCTTTCTTTTTCTTTCTCTTTCTTTCTTTCTTTCTATTTCTATTTCTATTTCTATTCTAGTCTATGATTCTTGATGATGTATCTTCTCTTTTTATGTACACTGAGAGCATCTGCACCAAAGACAAATTCCTTGTGTGTCCAATCACACTTGGCCAACAAAGAATTCTATTCTATTCAATTCAATTCTATTCAATTCAATTCTATTCTATTCTATTCTATTCTATTCAATTCTATTCTATTCTACTCTACTCTACTCTACTCTACTCTACTCTACTCTACTCACTTTCTTTCTTTCTTTCTTTTTCTTTCTTTTCTTTCTCTTTCTTTCTTTCTTTCTTTCTTTCTTTCTTTCTTTCTTTCTTTCTTTCTTTCTATTTCTATTTCTATTTCTATTTCTATTCTAGTCTATGATTCTTGATGAATGTATCTTCTCTTTTTATGTACACTGAGAGCATCTGCACCAAAGACAAATTCCCTTGTGTGTCCAATCACACTTGGCCAACAAAGAATTCTATTCTATTCTATTCTATTCTATTCTATTCAATTCTATTCAATTCTATGCTATGCTATTCTATTCTATTCTATTCTATTCTATTCTATTCTACTCCTATTCTATTCTACTCTACTCTACTCTACTCTACTCTACTCTACTCTACTCTACTCTACTCTACTCTACTCTACTCTATCTTTCTTTCTTTCTTTCTTTCTCTTTCTTTCTTTCTTCTTTCTTTCTTTCTTTCTTTCTTTCTTTCTTTCTTTCTTTCTTTCTTTCTTTCTTTCTTAGCTTTTTACTTGGAGCGGGGGTCTCCAAAGGGTACCCACCCTACACCAGGGTTTATTTGAAGCGGCTTCGGTGACTTAAGACTGTTGGCAATCTGGAGGGCACTTTCAGTGAGCGAGCAATATCTGTTTCTCAGGCCAGCATTTTTGCAGAACTGGGCGACGTGATCTTGGGAAGCAAACCAGCCCTGCGTGAAAAAACCACGGTGTTCAAATCACTGGGTAAGGATCAACTTCACGGAGCAGTTTGGTCTAGGGGTCAAGAAACCAGGAGACGGTGAATTCTAGTCCCTCCTTAGGCATGAAAACTGGCGGTGGTGACTTTGGGCCAATCACCAGGAGATGGTGAATTCTAGTCCAGGTTTAGGCATGAAAGTCAGCTGGGTGACTTTGGGCAAATCACCAGGAGACGGTGAATTCTAGTCCCTCCTTAGGCATGAAAACTGGCTGGGTGACTTTGGACCAATCACCAGGAGATGGGGAATTCTAGTCCAGGTTTAGGCATGAAAGTCAGCTGGGTGACTTTGGGCCAATCACCAGGAGATGGGGAATTCTAGTCCAGGTTTAGGCATGAAAAGTCAGCTGGGTGACTTTGGGCCAATCACCAGGGATGGGGAATTCTAGTCCCTCCTTAGGCATGAAAACTGGCCTGGGTGACTTTGGGCCAATCACCAGGAGATGGTGAATTCTAGTCCATGTTTAGGCATGAAAGTCAGCTGGATAATGGCACAATCACCAGAAGAACGGAGAGTTCTAGTCCCACTTTCTGTTTTAAGTGAGACATTCGTTAATTTTGCCCCATTTGATGACCTTTCTTGCCACAGCTGTTAAGTGAATCACTGCAGTTGATAAGTCAGTTAACCCGGTTGTTAAGTGAATCTGGCTTCCCCGTTGACTTTGCTTGTCAGAAGGTCGCAAAAGGGAATCATGTGACCCCGGGACAGGGCAACCGTCATAAATATGAATCATCTGAGTTTTGATCACATGATCATGGAGTTGTAAGCGATAAGTCACATTTCTTTTAGTGCTGGTGTAACTTTGGGCGGTCACTAAATGAACTGTTGTAAGTTGAGGACTACCTGTATGATGGTTGATGCTTTTTGTCCTCCAATTGTCTGTGATTTTGAATCCTTTTCAGGGATGGCCATTGAAGACACCATCGCAGCAAAATTGGTCTTTGAAGGTTGGTCGGCCAGCGGATGAGAGTGCAACCGTCTGATGCTCTTAAGCCACCGAATAATAAAAGGGAAATCGCTTCTGAGCAAAAAATAACTAATATTGCACAATAAACGGTCTTACTAGGTTACAATAGCAAGATAAATATTAAGGTAACAAAAGAATCAAATGATTTTTCTCAGTGTTTCTGAAGCTCAGCGACTTTAGGATATGTGGACTTCAACTCCCAGAATTCCCCAGCCAACAAACTTTAAGATATGTGGACTTCAACTCCCAGAATTCCCCAGGCAGCAAACTTTTAAGTTAGCTGGGGAATTCTGGGAGTTGAGGTCCACACATCTTAAAGTCGCTGAGTTTCAGAAACACTGGTTTATCTAATTATTCTAATGTGAATCATGTTCTTTTCATGTATTTGGATAGTGACTTAAATTCAGAGTTTACAACATCCTTCATCTCTTGAAGGCTATATTGTTAGTTCTACTAAATTGTTCACTTTATTAGCTGTAATTTCATTTTTATATGTTCAGAGATTCCAAAACTAAACTTTTAACTATTTGGGTGCCTGTCAATGACCTTTGTCTCAGATTTTCTCTCTGAAATAATAATTTTAGAGCTAAGATTCTAGATCTAGAATCTAAGGATTGATTTCTGCTTAACTATTTTCACATAAATTTTGCATTTAATGGATAAAGTTTGCCTTCTTTTTATTACTGACAAATAGACAATCAACAATCATAAGAAAATAATTGTCCTAAAACAGGTTAAGAAAATTCTACCGCCTTTTTTCTAAAAAAAAAAAAAAAAAAGTAGAAAAAATGTTGGGGTCAATCAATATTGATGTATTTTCTATACTGTGTTGTTTGTAACAAAAATAAAATTAACATTTCAGAAAATTACATTTCTCAAACATTCATTTTTTTTTGTTCAACAAAAACATCAAGAGAGGTTGTGCTTAATTCACTTGTGGCGACATAGGGATTCAAGGCTGATCCCTCTTTTAACTCCGCCCCCCACGTTCTACCACTCCTCCTCCTACAGAGTTTAAACTAGTGGTGGAATTCAAAATTTTTTTACTATCGGTTCTGCGGGCGTGGCTTGGTGGGCGTGGCATGGGAAGGATACTGCAAAATCCCCATTCCCTCCACACTCCTGGGGGAAGGATATTGCAAAATCTCCATTCCCACCCCACTCTGGGGCCAGCCAGAGGTGGTATTTGCTGGTTCTCCGAGCTACTCAAAATTTCCGCTACCGGTTCTCCAGAACCTGCTGAATCCCCATTCCCACCCCACTGCTGAATAGCACCCCGGGTTTAAACTCAAATGTTTCTTCATCCTGATCTTCTGAATCAATGGCTACTTAGCAGTGTTGAAGTTGAGGGGTTGTGGGGATTGCATAGATGTCATCTTAGGTCCCATCTCATCCTCCTCAACCTTCAGGGGGGAAAAAAAAAACTGTTTGTGGAGTGTGCACCAAACCATTGACCGGAAAAAAACATCCTTGGTTTATAATTGGGTATCGCTGATCAAGCCCGGCTTTTCCAAAGCTAGCTTCCTTTTGCTGATGGCATGGAGAACTTTCTTGCGAGGCCCCAGCTGCATCTGGATGCTCTGCAGATCTTCATCGGAACAAAGCATCAGACTTTCCAAATCAATGTTTTCCCTCATTAGGATGGGGAGAAATTCATGGAGATGATGGGCAACCAGGAACACTTCAAGGGGAGGAGCCTCTTCTTTGTCCTCATCCCACCCAACTGCTTCTTCCATCCAGGAGACATCAGGGTCATCCTCATTGTCTGAACCACCAAGTGCCTCCTTCAGTTGAAAGAGCTCTGGAATTTGAAAGGCCCTGTCTTCTTTCTCAGGGAGCAAGGTCTCCGTCTTCTGGCTTCTAAAGACCAGGTTGCCAAGACCTGGACGATTGAAAATAGACCTCTGTCCCAAGTCTTCTGCTTCTTCAGAAAAGCTGATCTTCTTTTGAAAGCCACACATCAGATCTTCTACCTCTTTCTCAGAGGACGAATCCATCGCGGTGATTTCTCCAGTGAAGCCGTCCTCCTCTGCTCCACGGCTCCCGGCTGTGCTGTTCTCCTCTTTCTTCCTGGACTTCAGTTTGAAGGTGTCCTTCAACTGTTTGGGGACGTCACTGAGCGAGCCGGTGGCGAAGAACTGAGACACTTTTGTCCTGGTGGCGGAGCTGTGACTCAACGGGATGGATCCTTTGTGGAACTGCTTGGACATCTCAAGCTGGTGCTTGTCCTGGCGTTTTTCACACAGGCGGATTTGTCGTTGTACCTCGCGTTGGGCCTGCGCCTTCAGGCGGGCGACCCGCTTGGGATTTTTGACGTTCTGCTCGGTGGCTGCCTTGTCAAGGATCTGGACGCATGGATACTGGCTCCGACTGGCCGCCGCATCGAGGGGCGAGCGCATGTCGTTGTCGAGGGCGAAAATGTTGGCGCCGAAATTGATCAGGAAGGAGACGCAGGGGGTGTGGCCGTTCGAGGCCGCGTGGTGCAGCGGTGTGTTTCCCCAAATGTCGCACACGTTGGGGTCGCCTCTGAAAAGGACACAACAACACAAAAGAACTCAGGTCTCCCTCGTTTTCCATGAGAGCAGCTTTTTTTCCCCCTCAAATAGGAGTCCTCCGGAAGTACGGGACTCCCACTCCCATAATCCCCAGGCTACTTGGTTAGGGTTTATGGGAGTTGAAATGCAACACATGTATGCAGGGAGTTAGTTCTCCAGGACCACAATTGAGCCCAAAATTTCCATGGCTAAACAAGGCAGATGTGCAATGAGTCTTGCCCCGTTTTATGACCTGGCTTGGCATGGTTGTTAAGTGAATCAGTTGTTAAGGGAATCTGGCTTCCCCCATTGACTTTGCTTGTTGGAAGCCGGCTGGGAAGGTTACAAATGGGGATAGCATGATCCCAGGACAATGCAACTGTCATAAGTACATGCCAGTTGCCGACACCTGAATTTTGATCGCATGACCCTGGGGATGCTGTAACGGTCATAAGAGTGAAAACCAGTCATAAGTCACTTTTTTATTGTCGTTCTAACTTCAAATGGTCACTAAACTAATAGTTGTAAGTCAAGGACTACGATAACTGTACAGGCCACGAGGTTGGGGACAGTGAAACAAAGACCAAGTTGCAAAGATTATCAGAAAGGACAGAAGCTGATGTGATATAATGGATATTCCAGGTTGCCATTTTTTTTCCCCTGCAAGTAAAACAACCAGCATCTCAAGAAGGTAATTCCACGCGAATATGTTCCCTGATATGCTACATTTTCCAGTGCAGGGGTTCAGCGTAAGGGGGAAAGAGGGTCCTTGTATCCAGTGGTGGGATTCAAATTTATTTGCTAATGGTTCTGTGGGCGTGGCTTGGTGGGCGTGGCCAGGGAGTGTGACAGACAGCACTCGGCCTCCTGCACCCCCCTGGGAGCAAACACGGGCCGCAGGGGGGCCCATGCCCCCCATGCCCCATTTTGGGCCTAGGAGGCTCCCTGAACTTACCTGGGAGCCAAAATGGGGCTCATGGGGGCTCCTGGAAGGGGCGGGCCAGCAAGCAATTTAACTACCGATTCGCCCGAACCGGCTGAATCCCATGTATTGTCTGCAAAAGGAGAGTGGCAAAAATGTGTAAGTTTCCAAAGAGTTATTTTCTAAAGTCAGAAGCCAGTTTAGCTCTCTTCTTTTGAAATTTAAATCCAGGAGCTTAGAGCAAGATTTCCTTCATAATTAGTTCCCATGGGGAAAATGCTAACTGATCATCAGTTAAATTATCTCCTTTTTTTTCCTCCAACAACAACAAAAAAACAACAACAACAACTCCAGGGGCCTGTACTAGTTCTGGTTCCAGTTTTGGCCACCACAATTCAAAAAAGATGTGGAGACTCTGGCAAGAATGCGGAGAAGAGCAACAAAGATGATAAGGGCAGTGGTGAAATCCAATTTTTTTTTTACTACCGGTTCTGTGGGTGTGGCTTGGTGGGCGTGGTGTGGCTTGGTGGGCGTGGCTTGGCGGGCTTGGCAGGGGAAGGATACTGCAAAATCCCCATTCCCACCCCACTCCTGGGGGAAGGATATTACAAAATCCCCATTCCCTCCCCACTCCTGGGGAGAAGGATATTGCAAATCCCCATTCCCTCCCCACTCCTGGGGGAAGGATATTACAAAATCCCACTTCCCTCCCCACTCCTGGGGGAAGGATATTGCAAAATCCCCATTCCCACCCCACTCCTGGGGGAAGGATATTACAAAATCCCCATTCCCTCCCCACTCCTGGGGGAAGGATATTACAAAATCCCCATTCCCTCCCCACTCAGGCCAGCCAGAGGTGGTATTTGCCAGTTCTCTGAGCTACTCAAACTTTCCGCTACCAGTTCGCCAGAACCTGTCAGAACCTGCTGGATTTCACCCCTGGATTAGGGGCCTGGAGGCTAAAACATATGAAGAACGGTTGCAGAAATTGAATATGTCTGGTCCAGGAAAAAGAAGGACGGGGGGGGGGGGGACACGATAGCAGTCTGTCAATATTTGAGGGGCTCATACAAAGTTGAAGGGGTCAACCTTCAAAGCACCAAAAGGCAAGACAAGAAGCAACGGATGGAAACTAACCAAGGAGAGAAGCAACCTGGAACTAAGGAGAAATTTCCTAAAAGTGAGAACAATTAATCAATGGAACGCCTTGCCTTCAGAAAATGTGGATGCTCCGTTAGGATCTGGTTTGAGCCTAACAAGTTGTCCAGGCAATATATGTGTTCTGTAACTTTAATATGAATATGTATTGTGTGACTTTAAAGTTTCCCTGCTGATTCATTGTAATGCTGAGTCGTGCTGTAATTAGTTCTGAACGTATTTAAGAAAGGTACTGTAACGTATTCAGTTGATGATAAGCTACCATTGTGTGAGGAGTTGCTATCCATTGTGCTATCATCGGTTGGATGGATCTGCTACCATCGTGGTTTGTGAACCAGAGTGAGTTTGTTATTCTAACCAACTACTGTTTGTTTGGTAAGAAGATATCTGTGACTACTGGACTGATTTAACTGGCAAAGACTTGGAATTTGTTTAAAGACTATGAGATTGTTTTTCCATTATAAAGTAAACTTTTTATAAACCAGTTTGCATATCTCTTATTCATTGCTCTCAGCAATGTTTCTCTACACCCTGCTGTACAACAACAATATCCTTAACATGCTCCATCGCTGGAGACTTTAAAAGAGAGAATAGTCATAGCCTTTAGACTTATATACCACTTTACGGTGCTTTTACAGCCCTCTCTAAGCAGTTTACATAGTCAGTCTTATTGCCCCCAACAATCTGGGTCCTCGTTTTATCCACCTCGGAAGGATGGAAGGCTGAGTCAACCTTGGGTTGAATGGACAACCGTTTGTCTGAAATGATATAGGGTTGTCTTGCTCAAGCATGGGGTTGGACTAGAAGACCTCCGAGGTCCCTTCCAACTCGATTATTCTAGGTTATTCTAGAACTGCACCCCAATTCTGCCTTTGGAACAGATTCCTGGAGGAAGCCATATTTCAACCCATGACGCCGACGGAGCTGAAACCAGTCCGTCCGCAGCACCAGCTATATAATAGGGGTGCCAAACCACCGAACGTTTAAAGGTCGCATTTATTAGCTGCTGCAGGCAATAAGTCATAAAAAAATAAAAATCACACCCTATGTAAACGCGAGCGGGGAATGGCGGCGCTGCTTCCTCTTTCCGTTTGGTGAAGTTCTCCCCTCCCTCTTTTATTTATTTATTTATTTATTTATTGGTTCGTCTAGTCCTGTGATGGCTAACCTTTTTGCCGTCGCGTGCCAAAAACGGGCGGGGGGGAGGGTCATGTGTGTGTGTAGCCACACCCATAATTCAATGTGCCCAGCCCCCCATACATGTGCACGCAACCCCTCTGCGCTCCCCCCCACTTTTGGCACGCGATAGCACAGTGGGGACAGTTGGTCCGTTTTTTGCCCTCCCCAGGCTGCAGAGGCTTTTTTGGCGCCTGGGGAGGGTGAAAACAGCCTTCCCCACTGCCTTGGAAGCCCCCTGGAGGCCGGAAATGGCTCATTTCCTGACTTCTGTTGGGACCGGAAGGCCCTATATCAGCTGGCCGATGTGCGCTGGAGCTGAGCTAGGGCAACATTTGTGTGCCCACCGATATGGCTCCGCGTGCCACCTTGGCACGCATGCCATAGGTTCGCCATCACAGGACTAGATGAACTCCAAGGTCCCTTCCTACTCTGTTACCATTATCTTACCTTCTTCTTCCCTGAAGATTATTTGGGGTCGGGAAGCCCAAGCCTGCCCTACTCACCCCCGCCTGCAGACAATTTCCAGAGCTTCGACGTTGCCGTGGTATGCCACCAGCAGAGTGGGGGTCATGCCATCCGCATCGGCGGTGTTGAGGTCCTTTCGGGTGGCTTCTTTGAGTAATTCCAGGTTGCCGTCCGCAGCTGCTCGGTGGAAGCGAGTGGACATTTTCCCCGTCTTCTGTTTGTGGTTTTTGTCCTGGGTCGTGAGAAGACGAGGCGGAGGCCTGCTCAGCCTCACCGTTCTCCCAAGGCGGTAGCTGCTTAATCCCAGCAGACGGGACACTTCGATGACACAGCAGATGACGAGGGAAGCAAAGGTTATTTTCCCCGCGATTTATTTGCATAGGAGATTTCATACTCCAGAGAGCAGGAGGATGGAAATATCTTACAGCCTTGGCTGCTGTTTAAAAAAAAAAAATAGATAATAATAAAGGGAGGTGCTCTTTAGAAGACTTATATTTATTTCATAAATTTATACAGCCGCTCAATTCACACACAGGTGACTTAACTAGGTGTATGGTGTTAGCTGTGAGAGCCAGAAACCAGGACACTGAATTCTAATCCTACCTTAGAAACCAGGAGGCTGCGAGTTCTAGTCTTACCTTAGAAACCAGGAGGCTGCGAGTTCTAGTCCTACTTTAGAAACCAGGAAGCTGTGAGTTCTAGTTCTACCTTAGAAACCAGGAGGCTGTGAGTTCTAGTCTTACCTTAGAAACCAGGAAGCTGGGAGTTCTAGTCCTACTTTAGAAACCAGGAAGCTGTGAGTTCTAGTTCTACCTTAGAAACCAGGAGGCTGCGAGTTCTAGTCCTACCTTAGAAACCAAGGGGCTGCGAGTTCTAGTCCTACTTTAGAAACCAGGAAGCTGTGAGTTCTAGTTCTACTTTAGAAACCAGGGGGCTGCAAGTTCTAGTTCGACCTTAGAAACCAGGGGGCTGTGAGTTCTAGTCCGACTTTAGAAACCAGGGGGCTGCGAGTTCTAGTCTTATCTTAGAAACCAGGGGGGTCCAAGTTCTACCTTAGAAATCAGGGGGCTGTGAGTTCTAGTCCTACCTTAGAAACTAGGGAGCTGCGAGTTCTAGTCCGACCTTAGAAACCAGGGGGCTGCGAGTTCTAGTCTTATCTTAGAAACCAGGGGGGTCCAAGTTCTACCTTAGAAATCAGGGGGCTGTGAGTTCTAGTCCTACCTTAGAAAGTAGGGAGCTGCGAGTTCTAGTCCGACCTTAGAAACCAGGGGGCTGCGAGTTCTAGTCTTATCTTAGAAAACAGGGGGGTCCAAGTTCTACCTTAGAAACCAGGGGGCTGTGAGTTCTAGTCCTCCTTTAGCCATGGAGCTGCCAGTGATGAAAGGAAAATGCATTTTAAAACCTATCTGGGATTATTTGAGAATGCTGGAATTAATTCTGGGAGTTGAAGTCCACTTATTTTAAGATTGCCAAATCTGAAAAACATTGTATGGGGGCGGGGGGGGTTGCTGCTTCTTCTTCTTCTTCTTCTTCTTCTTCTTCTTCTTCTTCTTCTTCTTCTTCTTCTTCTTCTTCTTCTTCTTCTTCTTCTTCTTCTTCTTCTTCTTTTCATCACCGAGAAAACCCGACCGGAGGATGCCAAATTTAGGACTGAAACCGAGAGATAAAGACATGCCATCTGCAAAGCCCTTAAGCCTCGCTCCGTTGGAACCACCTCGGTTGACATGGGGGATGCCGGTGACAGCCTGGTCCGCCATGCGATTCCTCGCGAGTAAGTCGGTTGGCTCTCCAGGACACCCCCCCCCCAGTCAGGGAAGACCTCCGGGGGATTTTTCACAGCAGCAACCTCACCTGGCCCAGGCTCTGCAGCCGTGGCGGGTGTGGGGGGGGAGGTGTGTGTGGGGGGGGGATCAGGCTAGATCAGCCTTTGGGAACTGGGCGGCCCCGACACTGAGCGTGCAATTGGGGGGAGGGTTTCAACTGAAATGGGAAGGGGTTTGCAAGTATGGTTGAAAATCGGAATTGCGCGCTTTGCAAAGTAGTGGTAGATTATCCAAACCTCGAGCGAGGGAGGGAGGGAGCGAGGGAGGGTGGGAGGGAGGGGGAGAGAGAGAGAGAGAAAGAGAGAGAGAGAAAAAGAAAGAAAGAAAGAAAGAAAGAAAGAAGAGAAGAGAAAAAAGAGAGAAGGAAGGAAGGGGTAGGGGAGTGGAGGAAGATAGAGACGGAGGGAGGAAGGGAGAGAGAGAGAGAGAGAGAAAGAAAGAAAGAAAGAAAGAAAGAAAGAAAGAAAGAAAGAAAGAAGAAAAGAAAGAAAGAAAGAAAAGAAAGAAAGAAAAGAGAGAAGGAAGGAAGGGGGAGGGGAGGAGAGAAGAGTAGAGTGAAGGGAGGGAGGGAGGGAGAAAGAAAGACAAAGAAAAGGGAGGGAGGGAGAGGGAAGAGAGAGAGAAGAAGAAGGGAGGGAGGGAGAGAGAGAAAGAAGGAAAGAAGGAAAGAAAGAGAAAAAGAAAAAGAGAGAGGGAAGGAAGGAAGGAAGGGGAGGGGAGAGGAGGGGAGTAGAGTAGCGTGGAGGGAGGGGGGAGAGAGGGAGGGAGGGAGAGAGAAAGAAAAAGAGAGAAGGGAGTGAGTGGGAAGAGAGAGAGAGAAGAAGGGAGAGAGGGAGGGAGGGAAAGGAAGGAAGAAGAAAGAAAGAAAGAAAGAAAGAAAGAAAAAGAAAGAAAGAAAGAAAGAAAGAAAGAAAGAAAGAAAGAAAGAAAAGAGAGAAGGAAGGAAGGGGGAGGGGAGAGGAGTGGAGTAGAAGGAGAGAGGGAGGGTGGGAGAAAGAAAGAGAGGAGGGAGGAAGAGGGAAGAAAGAAGAAGAAGAAAAAGGGAGGGAGGTAGGGAGAAAGAAGGAAAGAAAGAGAAAAAGCAAAAGAGAGAAGGGAGGAAGTGGGAAGAGAGAGAGAGAAGAAGGAAGGAAGAAAGAAAGAAAGAAAGAAAGAAAGAAAGAAAAAGAGACGGAAGGGGGAGGGGAGAGGAGTGGAGAGAGAGAGGGAGGGAAGGAGAAAGAAAAAGAGAGGAGGGAGGGAGAGGGAAGAGAGAAGAAGAAGAAGAGAGGGAGGGAGGGAGAGAGAAAGAAAGAAAGAAAGAAAGAAAGAAAGAAAGAAAGAAAGAAAGAAAGAAAGGAAGGAAGGAAGGAAGGCATGGAGCGCTCGGGAGAGAGAGAGAGAGAGCGAGAACCCCCCCAGCCCAGCTGAACGTGAGAACTTTGTGAGTTGGGACCGACTTTGCGCATGCGCGTTGAAAGCCCGTGCAGGCTATAAAAAAACCCCGACTCGGGCGTCTGAGCTGCGAGGCTAACCCTTAACGCGGTCCGCTTTGCCCCGCTTTGCGGATAGGATGGGGCTGCCCGTGGGTTGGGCGCGTTGCAACGCGTGGTAACGTTTTATCAACTTTCTTAGGCGTGGGAAAGGGGCAGCCGGTCGTATGAATGCAGACAAGCTGAGTTTCTTTTGCTTTCTGCTTTTAGGCTCTTCCTTGGCTACTTTCTAAGCAGCATTTTTACCTCCGGAGCTCTCGATTTCCCAGGTAACGGGGATTTCTCTTCGTTTGAAATGGGATATTCCAGGAAATATCTCGGTTTCCCTCTGAAAAGTGTTGGGAACAAACTGGGTTTGCCCCTTAAGCTCAGGGTCTACAGCACACTCTGTTTTTTTTTCCCTGGCAAGCGCTCAAAACAATGTGCCAAACCATCAATTCTGGTTTATAATATAAACCATGGCTAATCCCTAACTGAACAAACTACAATTGCTCTGAGCATCTTGGGTTGCTGAGCCACAGTTTAGTCTCCTTCCTTTGGCTTAAGGTGGGGTGAAACCTTAAGACTTGGTGCTGTTAACCTGGTTTGATGGATTGAAGGGAGTAATGTTGGTGATGTAATCTATTGCAGCCTAACCAGGATGCCACAGATATCTCCTGGTATCTTCAGGTGGGTCTGTTCTTGGAGCCAAACAATAGTAGTTAATATAGAGCAGAAATAGAAATAACTTAAAGAGTGAAGGTTTGGGTTGAAGGACTTTAATCAACATGGGCTTTTTTTAAAAAATTTGATTTATATGCCGCCCTTCTCCGGAGACTCAGGGCGGCTTACAATGCGCTAAGCAATAGCCTTCATCCTTTTGTATATTTATACAAAGTCAGCTTATTGCCCCCACAAACTGGGTCCTCAATTTACCTACCTTAGAAAGGATGGAAGGCTGAGTCAGCCTTGAGCCTTGGCGAGATTCGAACCTGCAGTAATTGCAGGCAGCTGGTCTTAATAACCAGCTTAATAACAGGGTGCCTTAGACCACTGTACTACCAAGGCTTCATCGTTCATTACTTGCTGAGCAATATCTTCAGCACTTTTAACTTGGAAAGATGAAGTTTAGTTAATTAGTTACAGGAAAGTCTTCCCCAGATGGCTTGATTTGACACAGCTGGCTGGGGAATTCTGGGAGTTGAAGTCCACAAGTCTTAAGGTTGCCAAGGTTGACTATCCTTGGCCTAATGCAGGTTTCTGCAACCGTAAACACTCAAAAGAGCCATTTGGACCGGTTTCCCACAGAAAAGAAAACACCGGGAGCCACAAAACCCTTCCCGTGCCTGACTGTTTCTTGAGTGGCCACAAAACTAGCATGTGTAGTTTTTTTTGTTTTTGTTTTAATTTGATTTATATGCCGCCCTTCTCCGGAGACTCAGGGCGGCTTACAATGCGTTAAGCAATAGCCTTCATCCTTTTGTATATTTATACAAAGTCAGCTTATTGCCCCCACAAACTGGGTCCTCAATTTACCTACCTTAGAAAGGATGGAAGGCTGAGTCAACCTTGAGCCTTGGCGAGATTCGAACTTACAGTAATTGCAGGCAGCTGGTCTTAATAACAGGGTGCTTTAGACCACTGTACTACCAAGGCTCTTAGTTGAATTAAACATTCTGTTTTCTTCTGAAACTTTTGTTTTCTTGGATTTATCCATGGTTGGCCTACTGGGGGTTGAAAAGCTCAATAAATTGCGTGCCGGCGGGTGACGCATATTTTGAGTGACAGGGAACTGCAGCAGAGGGGTGAAAGAGCCACATGCGGCTCCAGAGCTGCAGGTTGCTGACCCCTGGCCTAATGGATATATGTGTCACGTGGAGATCTTGCTATAAGTATGGTTCTCAAACTCTGTGGTTCTACCTTGATCCGTTTTCTGGACAAGGGGTATCAAGAAAAAGTGGGCTTATCTTTTATGACAGGTACGGTGTCTTGCCACGATGACCCGTGGCGAATTTGGCTGCCAAAGGAAGTTGCCAACTTGAGCTCCTGGGACATAGACATTCTCGGTACGTTTGATCCTCCTTCAACAATTTGGACTCTTTGGTTTGAAGTGACGCTTTCAGGAATGGGTTGCGTCTAACTCAAACTTGGCAAGTTTTAAGACTTGTGGACTTCGACTCCCAGAATTCCTGAGCTAACATGACCGGAGGAGGAATTCTGGGAGTTGAAGACCACAAGTCTTAAAGTTTGAAGGTCTAAACCCTTTGGCTGGTTTTTCTACAGATGGCAGCGGGGATGACATGGAAGACTGCCGTTACCAAATTGACTACGGAAAGCAAGTGTTGATGGTTGGGCATCAAAACTGTACTGAAATGGAGGTATGCCATTGAGGTGCTATGAATAATGTGGAGTGGGGGATTCTGGGAAGTTGAAGTTCCCACATCTTAAAAGCTGCCAAGTTTTGAAAAAAGACTGATGCTAAAGCAAGGGATCTCCAAACTTGGCAATTTTTAAGACTTGTGTGGACTTCAACTTCCAGAATTCCCCAGCCAGCATGGGGAATTGAATGGTGTTGAAGTCCACAAACCTTAATATTACCAAGTCTGGAGACCCCTGTCTAAAGGATAAAGGGGTTGAATTAATCAAGAAGAGAAGCAACCTAGAACTAAGGAGAAATTTCCTGACTGTCAGAACAATTAATCAGTGGAACAACTTGCCACCAGAAGTTGTGGTTGCTCCATCCCTGGAGGCTTTTAAGAAGAGACTGGACAACCATTTGTCTGAAATGATATAGAGCTGTGATGGCGAACCTATGGCACGCGTGCCACAGGCGGCACACGGAGCTATGTCACCTGGCACGCCAGCTCAGCTCCGGCCAGCTGATTTTCAGGCCTTCCGGGCCCACCAGAAGTAGGGAAACAGGCTGTTCCTGCCTCTGGAGGGCCTCTGAAGGGGTGGGGAAGGCTGTTTTTGCCCTCCCCAGATGCATAGAGAGGCTCTGGAGCCACGTGAGAAAGAAAAACGGGCCTACCGGGCCATCACGTGCCAGCAGCTGGGGGGGAGAGGGGGGTCGCGCACACATGGGCAGGGCGTATAGAATTATGGGTGTGGGCACCCCCACCCCCAACCCCTTCCTGGCACGTGATGGCAAAAAGGTTAGCCATCACTGATACAGAGTCTCCTGCCTAAGCAGGGGGTTGGACTAGAAGACCTCCACGGTCCCTTCCAACTCTGTTAGCCTGTTATCAGGAGTGGGCTGCTGGGAGTTCGCAGGGGTTCGGGAGAACCTCTAGCTAAGATTCTGTGCAGTTCGGAGAACCCACAAATCCCACTCCTGGCTGGCCCCACCCACCCCTCCCAGGAGTCCCCATGCGGCCCGTTTTGGATGCAGGTAAGTGCAGGGCGCGCACGGAGGATTGGGGAGGGCGAAAAATCAGCTCGGGAAGGCCTGAAGTTCGGGAGGGCCTCCGGAACCTGGGGAGGCTGTTTTCGCCTTCCCAGAAGCTCGAGAAAAGCCTCCGGAACCCGGGGAGGGCAAAAACGCCCCTCCCTTGCCGTGGTGGTGGAGACTGGCTAGGCCACACCCACTCAGCAACCAGGCAGAGAACCCCTTGCTAAAATTTTTGAAGCCCACCCCTGCCTGTTATTCTATTAAAATGCAGAAAAGGGGTTTTTAAAAAAAAAGAGGAAAAATATGGGCTAATTTTCAGAGCTTAGCAAAATTTGAACAACGGTGAAGCAATGGTGTCCCTTGGTGGACCGTCCAAATGCAAACCGATCAGGGGTGGGTTTTAAATTTTTTTACTACCGGTTCTGTGGGCGTGGCTTATTTTGCAGGTGTGGCTTGGAGGTCATGTGACTAGGTAGGCGTGGCTAGCTGGGCAGAGTCATTTCTGGAAGGTCCTCGCACTTACGACCAGTCCTCGCACTTACGACCTGACTCATTTGTTTGCTTTTAACACTGATCAGCTGTAGGACGGCCCTTTGAAACCCCGCGGCAAGAGTTTAAACAGTTTTTTCCCCTCTAGTCATCAGCTGGGACTCAGGAGGCAGCAATAGATTGGGGGTGGGACCAAATAAAAGGTAAGAATAACGTGGGAGGGGGGGGGAAACCGGTTCAGTGACGTCATATCGTCACCGCTACCGGCTCGGTCGAACCGGACCGAACCGGGAGGAACCCACCACTGAAACCGATGATGTGCTTTGTTGGGCTCTTGCGTGAATTGCTAACTCTTCAGCGAAGGAATGGATCTGTTTATGAAGTTTTGCTGTTCAGGAATTCACCAGCTTCGGTTTCTATTCCCAGGACAACAAGCCGCGCCTGAGATTCAGGTTGCAGTTCAACGACACAGAGGGGGTTCTTCGGCCCCAGAACGAAACGTACAGCGTCGACTGCGACACCATCCAGGCTGATGAAGCGTTTTCCGACAATGGCTTCGCCAGTGCTACTACAAACTGCACCAAAAACGTCATGGCAGTAAGTGGGAGGGGCAGCGTTGGCTGCCCATCACTCTGCTGAACACCTAATCCCCAAATATGGTCTTATCAGAGGTGGGTTTCAGCAGGTTCGGACCAGTTCTGGAGAACCGGAAGTGGAAATTTTGAATAGTTCAGAGAACCGGTAAATACCACCACCGACTGGCCCCGCCATCATCTATTTTCTGCCTCCCAAGTCCCAGCTGATTGGGAGGAAATGGGGATTTTGCAGTATCCTTCCCCTAGAGTGGGGTGGGAATAGATACTTTATTTATTTTATTTATTTATTTTATTAGTTTGATTTATATGCCGCCCTTCTCCGGAGACTCAGGGCGGTTTACAATGCTTTTAAGCAATAGCCTTCATACTTTTGTATATACCTGCTTAGTAGGGCTTTTTGGCCCCCCCTAAGCGGTGTTCTATTTTATACAAAGTCAGCTTATTGCCCCCACAAACCGGGTCCTCATTTTACCTACCTCGGAAGGATGGAAGGCTGAGTCCACCTTGAGCAATGTCCTTCTCCTGGAATGGGGTGGGAATGGAGATTTTACAGTATCCTTCCCCTGTCACGCCCACCGAGCCACATCCACCGAGCCACGTCCACAGAACCGGTAGTAAAAAATTTTGAAACTCACCACTGGGTCTTATATATATTTTACTTTTATCCTTCTCATGTTAGTATCCTGATTATTATCACACTGTTGTTTTGCATGTAAACTGAGAGCTTCTGTGCTGGAGACAACTTCCTTGTGTGTCTAATCCCACTTGGCCAAATAAAGTATTCTATTCTCTATTCTATTCTCTAGTCCAGTGATGGCTAACCTTTTCTGGACCGAGTGCCAAAAGCACACATGCACCCAAACCCCCAAAATGCAATGCGTGTGCACCCCCTGCACATGTATGCATGCATGCCCCCTGCCCCCCATGCATGCGTGTGGCCCCCCGCATGTACCATGCCCCCCATACATGCACATGCGTGCATCCCCGCATGTGTCCTGCCCCCCACGCATGCACATGGGTCCCCACAGGTGCCCCGCCCCCCACCTATGCGCCGCAGAGACCCGGTGATCAGCTGGGCAGTGGAAGGCGCTGAACTGGGGCACCGGTTCGCGTGCCCATAGAGAGGGCACGGCATACCACCTGTGGCACGCATGACATAGGTGTGCCATCACAGCTCTATTCCATTCTCTATATTCTATTCTCTATTCTATTCTCTCTTATTCTCTCCTATTCCTATTTCATTCTATTTCCTTTGTTTTTGGGTTTTGGATACGGCGCCCCGTTTCCTCACCCTCTCCACGATGATGTCACCACCGGAAGTCTCCATTCTATTCTATTCTATTCTATTCTATTCTATTCTATTCTATTCTATTCTATTCTATTCTATTCTATTCCATTCCACTCCACTCCACTCCACTCCACTCCACTCCACTTTAAATTCTATTCTATTCTACTCTACTCTATTTTAAATTCTATTCTACTCTACTCTACTCTACTCTTTCCCTATTCCCTATTCTATTCTATTCTATTTTACTCTACTCTACTCTACTCTCCTCCATTCTTCATTCCAATATCTTGGAATGGTGGCGCAGCAGACTAATAGCCTGTTATTATCATTCAGCTGCCTGCAATTACTGCTAGTTCAAATCTCCCCAGGCTCAAGGTTGACTCAGCCTTCCATCCTTTCTAAGGTAGGTAAATTGAGGACCCAGATTGTGGGGACAATAAACTGACTTTGTATAAATATACAAAAGTATGAAGGCTATTGCTTAACGCATTGTAAGCCGCCCTGAGTCTCCGGAGAAGGGCGGCATATTAATCAAATTTAAAATAAATACATAAATCTTATCCTACCCTACCCTACTCTCTACTCTCTACTCTTACTCTCTTCTATTCCTCTTCTCTCTTCTAATCTATTTTGTGTTTGTTATGTGGCTTGTGTCTTCTGTTGTACAGATAGTCCTTGACTTACAACAGTTTGTTTCATAACCGTTCAAACTTCCATCTTGATTCTTTTCAAAGCATTGTGCTGTTTTGCTATTCATGCTCATATCCAAATATCTTCCACTTGTAGGTTACATTCCCAAGGCTGATTCCCAGTTTTCGGGATGAACTCACGGTATGTAATCCAACTTTCTCTCAGGCAAGCTAGCTGAATGGCATTTACCAATAAAATAACACTAGGGGGGAAAACAAATCTATACTCTGCCCACATGACTGGCTCATATTATAGCAGTGATTTATTTGATTGCAGTTGAGCGTGTGGTTTAATCACAGCTATTGAGGCAAACTGCGGTTTAGTTGGGGGGAAAAAAATCTGAATCTGTCTCCGTGATTTTAATTAAACTTGTTGATTATTTTTTTTCCCCAAGCCTTCGAAATTTATGCGTTGGCTGATAATGAAAGCGCACAAATTAAGTCTGGGTGTTGTTGTTTTTTTAGATTGCTGTTTGGAGTTTAAGATTTTAGGAGGCACAGATGGTGGAGATTTTTGAATATCTCCAAGGTCCCCTTCAATAAAATATCTTAATGTCAACATCCAGCTTGAAGTATCCAAATAAATGTCCAGAACTAATAAAAGTCTCGAGGCAAAACTAACTCCGAGATTCCCAGGCATCAGTTCATAGTATTAAACAATGATTTTCCCAGCCAAACCCCAAGGCTTCCATTTAGATCAAGTAAACAAATTCTCTTTGTTATGCCTCAACTTCACACCTTGAAAAGTTGTTGTGACCTGCCAGCAGAGCTGGCAACAAATTCAGACAGGTTGGGAAGGAACGTGGGCCAGTCCTGGAGTCTGGGGAAGGCTCGGACGATGGCTCTTGAGTCGGAGGCAGAGAGGGGGGCCAAGGCCTCTGGTAGTTCTTTCCTGCCCCCGGAGTCTCCGGAGTCTGACATCAGCAAGGCAGAAGAACAGCGTCAGCCTGTTCCTAGTGTGCGCATACGCAGAGCTGCCAGAAGACAGGAACAATTAAGGAAATAGGGTCGACTTGGGAGTAAGGCTTGGAGATGATTGGCCCCTCCCATAAGACATAAAAGAGAAGCGAACGGGACGGGAGCTTTTTGCAGGAAGCAATTAGTTCATCTGGTCGATTCAAGATTTGAAACTTCTGTTTGTGACTCTGTGCCAAGTTTGGCCTTGTCCTGCGTCTGGCAATTAGCTCTTTGGCAGCGTTCCTCGTGAGATAAGGTGGGTGTTGATAACCTTCCTCTGAAAGGCTTTTTATCAAGCCTTGCGGACTGTAAATGAAAGTAATTCGCAGCCGTATGCATTAAAGAGGTTTGCCGGGACTACGTTTTGCTGTTTTAATTTCTAAGGAAGCCTAGGTCGGAACAAAAGTTTCCAGACACACTCAAGCTTCAAGCTGGAGCTGCAGAAGTTTCGTTTCTCTAGTTAACCCGCTTGTAAACAACATCAGAATGGAATGCTTTAAAAAATGGTGTCTGAAATTGGAGAGCAGATTCTGAAACATGGTTAGTGCAAACCTGTCTTGGTCCAAGATCTTTCTTAATGTGGTGGCTTTTTATAGGCTGGCCGGCCTGGAATGGGGCCTGAAATGGCATCTCTAATGGAGTGGATTGTATCGATCGAGGATAATGGCCGGATCCATCATTTGAGTCTCAGGCAGGCGATTCAACAGGGCTACACATTCTTTTCCGATGCCAGTGATATCATCATCCAAGTCCCGTTTAATGCAAGAGGAGTTGCAGTTTACAAGGTACAAGAAATGAGAAATAGAGCTATAGGTGCCAGGATACAGGTAGTCCTCGACTTACAACAGCTTGTTTAGTGACCGAAGTTGCAACATCATTGAAAAAAGTGACCGATGACCATTTTTCACACTTACGACTGTTGCATCATCCCCCCCCCATGGTCACGTGATCAAAATTGAGATACTTGGCAACTGGCTCATATTTATGACGATTTCAGTGTCCGGGATCATGTGATCCCCTTTTTTGACCTTCTGACAAGTAAAGCAGGGGTGAAATCCAGCAGGTTCTGACAGGTTCTGGAGAACCGGTAGCGGAAATTTTGAGTAGTTCAGAGAACTGGCAAATGCCACCTCTTTCCAATATCCTTCCCCCAGGAATGGGGTGGGAATGGAGATTTTGCAGTATCCTTCCCCCAGGAATGGGGTGGGAATGGAGATTTTGCAGTATCCTTCCCCCGGAATGGGGTGGGAATGGAGATTTTGCAGTATCCTTCCCCTGGAGTGGGGTGGGAATGGAGATTTTGCAGTATCTTTCCCCTGGATTGGGGAGGGAATAGAGATTGCAATATCCTTCCCCCAGGAATGGGGAGGGAATGGAAATTTTACAGTATCCTTCCCCTGGAGTGGGGTGGGAATGGAGATTTTGCAGCATCCTTCCCCTGCCATGCCCACCATGCCATGCCCACCAAGCCATGCCACGCCCACTAAGCCATGCCCACAGAACTGGTAGTAAAAAAAATTGGATTTCACCACTGAAGTAAAGTCAATGGGGAAGTGTGATTCATTTAACCCCCTTGTCACTCACTTAACAACTGCAGTGATTCACTTAACAACTGCAGGAAGAAAAATCGTAAAATGCAGCAAAACTCACTTAACAACAGTTTTACTTAGGAATAGAAATTTTGAGCTCAGTTGTGTTCGTAAATCAAGGACTGCCTATAAATTCCTCATGTTTGGTATTACTTCTCCAAGACTGAGCTTTGAGGAAAGTGCTTTGTCGTTAATAATTGGATTATTATGGATTTATGATTATTTTTGCTTATTTGACGAACGTTTTTAGAATAGGTGGCCTCTACATTGATTGGTTTTTATTTTTTGTCTTGTTTTTATCCTGCCTTTATTATTTTATAGGTAACTCAAGGTAGCAAACATTACCTAATATTCCTTCCTCTTGCTATTTTCTCCACAACAACAATCCTGTGAGGTGGGTTGGGCTGAGGGAGAGGGACTGGCCCAATGTCACCTAGCCAGCATTAATGCCTAAGGCGGAACTAGAACTCTCAGTCTCCTGGTGATTGGCCCAAAGTCACCCAACTGCTTTCATGCTAAAGTTGGGACTAGAACTTACCATCTCCTGGTAAATTCGCTCAAAGTCGCCCAGTTGGCTTTCATGGCTAAGGTGGGACTAGAACTCTCAGTCTCCTGGTGATTGGCCCAAAGTCACCCAACTGACTTTCATGCTAAAGTTGGGACTAGAACTTACCATCTCCTGGTAAATTCGCTCAAAGTCGCCCAGTTGGCTTTCATGGCTAAGGTGGGACTAGAACTCTCAGTCTCCTGGTGATTGGCCCAAAGTCACCCAACTGACTTTCATGCTAAAGTTGGGACTAGAACTTACCATCTCCTGGTAAATTCGCTCAAAGTCGCCAGTTGGCTTTCATGGCTAAGGCGGGACTAGAACTCTCAGTCGCCTGGTGATTGGCCCAAAGTCACCTAACTGACTTCCATGCCTCATGGTAATGATGTGCTATGAGATAATGGTGATGATATAGTGATGTACAACTTTTCACTTTAGTGGTTTGGGGGAAGTGTCAAGACCTGCTTTAGGATTGGATATTGCCGTAAAAAAAGGTTTCTAGAAGGTTAAAAGCATGAAACGTTACCATATGTCTTTCAGGAAGGTGACCACGTGTTGTACACGGTAGCCATCAAGCTAACTTATGGGCCACCAGAGCAGCGCCTGACTCTGGAATCAAGAATGATCTGCGCCCCAGGTGAAAACTTTCTTTCCAACGTTCTGCTTCTAAATCAGATATGGAGATGCTGGCTTCAGACTTGGGTGTTCCATCCGTAGCTTTTCCATGTTCTTCCTCATAAGTTGACTCCTCCTATCCATTCCTTTAACTTATGCATTTTTGTCATGAAAAAAGAACCATATTTTCCCTTATCTTCCTTTCTTGATCCGAGTTTATTTTCCGATAGGGTAGGAAAGTGGATGAATGGAATTCTGACAAAGCTGAACTCAGAAAATAGACAAAACCTGAATACGATTTGGGACTTAGCATGTTATCATAATCATAAGTTTATTTGTCAAGCATATATAAGATGACAGGTAAAAATATAAAAATATAAACATAATTTGAATACATGAAAAGAGTAAGTAAAAAGGAATATTAGGACAGGGACTGTAGGCCCGCTGGTGCATTTATGCACGCCCCTTACAGACCTCTTAGGAATGGAGTGAGGTCAGCAGTAGACAGTTTAAGGTTAAAATTTTGGGGGTTTTGGGATGAAACCACAGAGTCAGGTAGTGCATTCCAGGCATTGACCACTCTGTTACTGAAGTCATATTTTCTGCAGTCGAGTTTGGGGTGGTTTACCTAGAGTTCGTATCTATTATTTGCTCGTGTATTGTTGTGACTGAAGCTGAAGTCATTGACAGGAAGTACATTGTGGCAGATAATTTTATGTACTACGCTTAGGTCAGACTGAAGTCGGCGTAGTTCTAAGTTGTCTAAGCCCCAAATTTGGAGTCTGGTGACATAAGGTATTTTATTGCGGTTAGAGAAATGGAGGACTCTTCTTGTGAAATATCTCTGGACACTCTTGATTGTATTTATGTCCGATATGCAGTGCGGGTTCCAGACAGATGAGCTGTATTCAAGAATTGGTCTAGCAAATGTTTTGTATGCTCTAGTTAGTGGTACAACATTACCAGAGAAGAAGCTACACAAGATTAGATTAACAACTCTTAATGCCTTTTTAGCAATGTTGTTACAGTGGACTCGGGCACTTAGATCTTTAGAAATGAGTACTCCAAGGTTGTAAATGCAACAAGTATGGTTTGTAAATTCATGGTTTATGTTACTACATTAGGCCTGAACATAGTAATGGGATTATTGAACCAACCAGATTAACATAACATAGTTGGCGTCATGTTGACAGCCCATAATTCTTCGGAAGAGGTATATTATGCAAGCTTCCTATCAGGATTGAAGCTCTTCTTGAAGAACCTCAACATGAAGAATATACTCCAATCAAAAATTGGAGAAGAAAAATTGGTTTGGAAAATCTTCAATCTTTCCCCCCCCACCCAACTTTTCAGGCCCAGCAATCTGTAATTCGACCCACATGATGGTGATTCTCCCAGCTTTCCCAGGAAAATTGACAGATGTCAGTCTGAATGAGAAGAACATTCCGGTACACCAACTTCAAGCCAATGGGATTGGTGTGGATACCAGAAAAGGAGTGAAGTTGTATATTCCCAAAAGAATTCTGAACACACGAGTAAGTTCCTTGAGTCCGAGGACATATTTCTTGAGGCAAATGTTGGGGGTTGTTTTGTGGCTAGGGAATTCTGGGAGTTGAAGTCTACAAGTCTTAAAGTTACCAAAGTTGGAAATCCCTGCTCTTAAAGGTACAAGAGCTGGCTGGAGAATTCTAGGAATTGAAGTCCACTCTTAAAAGTTTCCTGGGTTCAATAACCTACCTTGAGTGTACCTCAATAGGATCATCAGTTGATTAACCATCAGTTCTGTTATTTTAATTTTATTTTTAATCAATATAAGTGCTTAATGAACATTGCATTGCCTGAGTCATTTTGCTTGTACAGTATAATAATAATAATAATAATAATAATAATAATAATAATAATAATAATAATAATATACATTGATTATATCTATTATCTATTTAATAATATATTATTAAATAATAATATATTTAAATAATAAATGGCTATGGATGAAACATGCAATGGTATCCATTGTCATTGGGGCACTTGGTACCATGTCCAAGAATTTTATAAGATACATCAACAAATTGCAGCTTCCTGCAATAACACCAGCGGAACTGCAAAAAACTGCGCTACTTGGAACATCGTACATCTTAAGAAGGTACTTGGTTGATCCCTAGGACGCTGGCACCAACCCTTATCAACCATTAGCACCAGTCAATGGTATTTGTGATGCATTTTTGAATGTTCAGTTGACTGAATTTCTTGTTTAATGAATAAAGATAATAATAATATAATAATAGTAATCGTAATAGTATATTATTTACTTACATACAATAATCTTTCATTATTCACATGTGCATAGTAATAATCTTTCATCTTCTAATTTCTACTTCTGCCATCTAGCCATTGATAAAACAAATCCCGTTAAAAAGTATTGTTTCTTCCTTGTCCTTTATTTTTAGTGTCAATCTATCTATCTCTGCACAGTCTAATATCTTTTTGATGATATTCTCATCTGTAGGAGTATCCTCATTCTTCCAATGTTGTGAAAATACAATTCGCGCCACTGTCAACACATGTAATATTAAATGCTTAACCATCAGCTCTAACCACTCCTCTTGTGTTAAAGTTGAAACTGATGAAAGCAGTGGAATAATTTTATCTCTCTGATTTTCCAGGCCTACAGAGATCACGACTGCTCAGGTTTTCAGTTGTACGTTGAGTCCTTGACGTTGAATTTTGACTACCGTGGCGAAATAGCCACCATGGTTAGCTATCCAGAATGCCCTTGTGAACAAAATGCACCAATAGGTGAGGATTTTAACATCGGTCTTAAAGATAGATCTTTGAATGTGGCCTGCGAAGGGTTAAACATGCTATCATAGTTATGGGTCAACCATCTTCAGAAGCCTCAATGCAGAGAACATGCCACTTCCATCTTTCTACTTCAATTGAGAAAAACTCACACACCTTTCTGCCCTATTAGCACATTTTCTGGCCAAAAAATTGATATGTGCTTGGTTTTCCTGCTGAATTTAGATCTTTTTAGCAATTTCTCCCTCCTTTTCTCTCCCCCCCACAAGTGATAAAGCTATAATTTTGGGCCTGCTTTCTCTGTGGATTGGATGTTGGGTTTTATATTTAAGCTAACAGGCCTATCTCTACTATAAAATATGTTAAATATGTTATTAGTCTCTCTGGGAGGTCCATCATAACTTCAAATGGTCACTGTGAGAACAATCTGTAGTAAAATATGTTCAATATGTCATAAGTATCTCTGGGGAGATCCATTGTAACTTTGAATGGTTGATAAGTGAGGATTATATGTATCTGTATGTTAAATATGTTGTAAGTATCTGGGATAGTCCATTGTCCTGTCAAATGGTGAGAACTATCTATAGTAAAATATGTTCAAAAAGTCATAAGTATCTCTGGAGAATCCATCATAACATCAAGTGATCTTTAAATGAGAACTATCTGTACTAAAATATGTTAAACATGTCATAAGTCTCTCTGGAAGGTCCATCGTAACTTCAAATGGTCACTAACTGAGAACTATCTGTGGTAACATATGTTCAATATGTCATAAATATCTTTGGGGAATCCATCGTAATGTTGAGTGGTCACTATGTGAGAACTATCTGTGGTAAAATATGTTCAATATGTCATAAATATCTTTGGGGAATCCATCGTAATGTTGAGTGGTCACTATGTGAGAACTATCTGTGGTAAAATATGTTCAATATGTCATAAATATCTTTGGGGAATCCATCGTAATGTTGAGTGGTCACTATGTGAGAACTATCTGTGGTAAAATATGTTCAATATGTCATAAATATCTTTGGGGAATCCATCGTAATGTTGAATGGTCACTAAGTGAGGACCATCTGTACTAAAAAAGGGCCAAAATCAGACAGACATTGTTGATGTTCCTTAGTTGGGTAATAAAATGTCTGCAACCAACCAACCTCCCTCAAGAAGACCAAAAACTTCCCGATTCCACCCTGAGGTACAGTATTCTCTTCAGTTGAACTCATTGTGGCTTATCATGGTGTATGACTTGATTCCCAACTTCCTTACAGTCACCATATGCACTCAAGATGGACACATGGATTTTGAGATAGCGAGCAGCAGTACGAAACCGGACTTAAACCTGGATACCCTCAGGCTTAGAGACCCAACCTGTGGGCCCGTCTACTGGTCGGCTTCGAAAGATCGAGTCCATTTCCGTGTGCCACTGAACGGTTGCGGGACCACGGTGAAGGTAAGGTCCTCCTTCAGATGAACCCAGTTGGTTCTCCTCCTTCACCGATACAGGTTGTCCTTGAATTATGACCACAATTGAGCTCCAAAGTTTTCTTGCTAAGGGAGACAACTGTTAAATGAATTTGCCTCATTTTACGTCCTTTCATGCCACAGTAGTTAAGTTAGTAACATGGTTCTTAAGTGAATTTGGCTTTCCCCGCTGATTTGGCAAAAGGGGATCACATGACCCCAGGATATTGCAACCGTCATAAAAATGAGTTGACAAGTGTCCGAATTTTGATCACGTGACCACAGGGGTGTTACAGAGTGGTGCGGTGGCCTAGAGGTGGAGCTCTTGCCTCTTCGGAGGCTGTGAGTTCGATCCTAGATAGAGGCAGCTATTTCTCTCTCTGGCATAATGGGAATTTATCTGCTGAAAAAAACTCCACATTGGCGACAGGAAAGGCATCCGGCCAGTTAACACCCTGCTAGCTCCATTCAGTTGCGCAGACTCCACCCCGCAAGGGATTATGGGGTTGTTAAAATGATGATGATGACCACAGGGGTGTTGCAATGGCCGTAAGTGTGAAAAATGGTCATAAGTCACTTTTTTTCAGTGCCATTGTAACTTCGAAGGTTCACTAAACGAATGGTTGTACTCCGAGAACTATTTGTACCCTTTTGCGATTCCAGGTGGTTGGCGAGAAGATGGTTTATGAAAATGAAGTGAGTTCCATTTGGCCAGATCAACCCCCACGCTGGATCTCCAGAGACAGCGATTTCAGGTGAGTCTGGCTTGCCTTCTATGTGGCGATCAAGATGACGTAATTTTCTGTGGGTATTTGTGCTTTTTCCATTCGTGCGCAATTCCAGCAGAATTCGGGCTGCAAAGTATTGCTCAAGACTACCCATGCATTTTAGGATTGCAATGCTTTTTTTTTTTTTTTTTGCAATATGCATTGATGATAAATGCAATAAAAATTTTTGATTTCGCCGATCGGCCCAGCCTCCAATCAGTAACTTTTGGAAGCGACGGATAACACCAAGAGCCTTGGTGGCGCAGCAGACTAAAGTGCTATTAAGTAGCACCAGCTGCCTGCAATTACTGCGAGGTCAATTCTCACCAGGCTCAAGGTTGACTCAGCCTTCCATCCTTCCGAGGTAGGTAAAATGAGGACCCGGATTGTGGGGGCAATAAGCTGACTTTGTATAAAAAAGAACACCGCTTAGGGGGGGGCCAAAAGCCCTACTAAGCAGGTATATACAAAAGTATGAAGGCTATTGCTTAACGCATTGTAAGCTGCCCTGAGTCTCCGGAGAAAGGGCAGCATATAAATCGAACCAATAAATAAATAAATAAAATTTAAATTCCGGGTTTATCGCTCCGTGCAGAGTTCATTGTTTTGAAACTTGTGTGCAGACAATATTAATAAGAGTTTATGCCGTTGGCCTAAATTATGTAACATTGATGTAGCTAAATTAATCCTGGATTGAATGAATAACCTCTCCCCGTTCTTCACGATTGAAAGCCAGATAACAAAAGAGATTTCAGAAAAACCCAACTCCTGCTTTTAAAAAAAAAATCATAACTGGATAGTATGTCTCTGCCTTGTACGTGGCGATTTCTGCAACCAATCAATCCTTCAGCATTTTCAGTTAGGGTGATCGTTTAAAGCCGGGTTTTTGTGCTATTGTGTAAATCGTGCATTTGAATGCCACGCTAATCTTTAGGCTGTGATTGATCGACAGGGCGGCTGGCTTTTATTTAACCGACTAAAGCCGAAATTTACATTATATGAATGTGAGTGATGTGTAAACCCAGTCACGTAAGAAATAGGCTACAGTTCTTCAAATGCAAGAGGGCAAGAATAATAGAATTGAAGCGAGAGAGGTTTTCATTCTTTCCCCCCATTCCTCAATTGACTATGAAATGAGAATACTGCCGATCTGAGAGGGTGGGTTGCTTAAGAGGAGAAACTTTTGACTAAAAACAACATTGGAAGACGTGTAACTCTGGCTGAACCTTGGCAGGGAAAATAAAATCTTTGAATGCAGATGAATTAGCAATAGCATTTACCGTACTTACATACCGCTTCACAGTGCTTTTACAGCTCTCTCTAAGCGGTTTACCGAGTCACCCTTTTGCCCCCAACAATCTGGGTCCTCATTTTACTGACCTCGGAAGGATGGAAGGCTGAGTCAACCTTGAGCCGGTCAGGATCAAACTGCTGCCATTTGGCAGAATTAGCCTGCAGTACTGCATTTTAACCACTGCGCACCATGGATGGATGGATGGATGGATGGATGGATGGAAGGAAGGAAGGAAGGAAGGAAGGAAGGAAGGAAGGAAGGAAGGAAGGAAGGAAGGAAGGAAGGAAGGATGGATGGATGGAAGGAAAATAGTAATAACAATAAGACTTACATACCGCTTCACAGTGCTTTGACAGCCCTCTCTAAGCGGTTTACAGAGGCAGCCTTTTGCCCCCAACAGTCTGGGTCCTCATTTTACTGACCTCTGAAGGATATATATATATATATTTAAATTTGATTTATATGCCGCCCTTCTCCGGAGACTCAGGCCGGCTTACAGTGCGTTAAGCAATAGCCTTCATACTTTTGTATATTTATACAAAGTCAGCTTATTGCCCCCACAAATTGGGTCCTTAATTTACCTACCTTAGAAAGGATGGAAGGCTGAGTCAACCTTGAGCCTGGCGAGATTCGATCTTACTTTAATTGCAGACAGCTGGTGTTAAATTACAGTGCTCTGTCTGTTGAGCTATCCAGGCTCAACAGACTTAAGTCTTAAAGGCTATTACTATCACTAGGCAATATTTGATAAGAGATGTCTGAGTCCCAAAGCAGGAATGCGGGTGGTGGAGAAAGGGGAAGGGGACCCTCCCTAGTTCTTTGGGAAGTAAAGACGAGTGGGAGGGACAGGTGCGTTCAGATTTTCAAGATAACCTCACCATAAAGGTAGCGTTAGTACTCAGGTTTTTGGTTACCTGTCCAGACTACCTCAAAGGGCTGATGTTACTCAACTTTTCTTTCCAGGTTGACCGTGGTTTGCTCGTACGAGAGTGCCGATACTTCCTTGAATGTCAGAATAAACACATTTCCTCCTCCTGCGCCTGCAATCAACCAAGGTCCACTTTCTCTTCTTCTTCTCATTTATCCAGGTGAGACATTTTAATTCATGGCTAGGTGGGGGGAGACATTTCTTCATTGCAGTTTTAAGTCTTCATACTTCCGGTATCTAGAGCAGGGGTCAGCAACCTGTGGCTCTGGAGCCGCATGTGGCTCTTTCATCCCTCTGCTGCGGCTCCCTGTTGCTGGTTGGCACCACAATTTGGAGAGGAGTTTCAATTTAAGGCGGGGAAAGCATGGTGTTCCAGGAGGAGATTTTACGCCAAGGGGCGGCGGGTTTTCTGGTCAGCTCCACAATTGATAGGGCTTTTGGTTAGGACAAGAAGAGGAAAAAGGACACCGCACTAGGAGGAGACTCTATGGTGGGGGAACAGGACTTCCGGTCGGCTCCAGAATTGAACGGGGGGCTTCCGGTTAGGACCTTTGTGGCTCTTTGAGGGTTTAAGGTTGCTGACCCCTGTTTCTCAACCTTGGCAACAATTAAGATAAGTGGACTTCAAAATTCCCAGCATGGCTGGCTGGAGGAATTCTGGGAATTGAAGTCCACACATCTTAAAGTCGCTAAGATTAAGAAACACTGATTTTAGAGAACCGGATTCTTTGTTTATGAAACTACTTGAAACTGCTTGCCAGGATGGTGCAGTGGTTAGCGTGCAGTACTGCAGGCTACTGCTGCTGACTGCCGGCTGACTGCAATTCGGCAATTCGAATCTCACCAGGCTCAAGGTCGACTCAGCATTCCATCCTTCCGAGGTGGGTAAAATGAGGACCCAGATTGTTGGGGGCAAGTGGCTGACTCTGTAAACCTCTTGGAGAGGACTGTAAAGCACTGTGAAGTGGTATATAAGTCTGCTATTGCTTGGGAAGGAAGGAAGGAAGGGAAGGAAAGGAAAAAAGGAAAGGAAAGGAAAGGATAGAAGGAAAGGACAGGACAGGATGACAGGACAGGACAGGACAGGACGCCGTGGTGGCACAGTGGTTAGAATGCAGAATTTCAAGCTGGCTCTGCCTACTGCCAGGAGTTCGATCCTGACCGACTCAAGGTTGACTCAGCCATCCATCCTTCTGAGGTGGGTAAAATGAGGACCCAGATTGTTGATGGCAAGATGCTGACTCTGTAAACTGCTTAAGAGAGGGCTGTAAAACCCTGTGAAGCGGTATATAAATCTAAGTGCTATGGCTATTGGCAGAAGTTTCAGGTAGCATAGATCCAATGTATCCATAGTTATCTGGATGAAGCTCTTTAAAAATATCCAAAGCGTTAAATATACACACTTTGTAATGATTTCTGTAATTTGCATAATGCCATCATTATAGAAATGATCTAAATTGCTGCAAATGATGTCCTTTTGCTTTTAAAAGACATCGGGAAGAAAGAAAGCGCCCTTAATGGCCTATTTAAATTGAAGTCTCCTTCGGGTGTGCAATTAACGCACATAAACATAATTACGTGCACATTGTTTTTCATGTCTTCTATCTAAACAGCGCGTGCCTTAAAAAGGCTGCCGAACTAGAAAGCCGTACGTTTAAAAAGCTAAATTAAAATACAGCTGCCCGTATTACTATTTTTCCGATTTGGAAACCCTAACTTGAAATCCAGTTTTAACTGCCTGTGGAGCCCACGAGGATCGAAGCGATAAAATGAAATGGCGTGAAATAAAATTTGAAAAATGGGCTGAGAGAAATGGAGAGAGAAAAAAAAGAGGATTTTGGAAGCCTCGAACAACTAAATTTCTCAGTACACGCACCGGGGATTTTTGGAACTGGGTTTAAAGAATGCTGGAGTCACAAATGACAAATTGGAAGCAAAATCTTGACGCGATTGAATGGGGGGTTTGAATGCCACCAGAGTTGGCAACCAACTCTGATTGGGAGGATTTTTTCATCAGGTTCGCCTGATCCGCCAGTTGCGTCCCTTTCTGGATCGGGACTCCTTACGCACGGTCACTCATGCTTTCGTCACCTCCCGCCTGGACTATTGCAACGCTCTCTACATGGGGCTCCCCTTGAGGAGCACCCAGAGGTTCCAACTGGTGCAGAGTGCGGCCGCGCGGGTGGTAATGGGAGCGACATGGCGTTCCCACGTAACACCCCTCCTGCGTGAGCTGCACTGGCTCCCGGTGGTCTTCCGGGTGCGCTTCAAGGTTTTGGTTACCATCTTTAAAGTGCTCCATGGCTCAGGACCTGGGTACTTGCGGGACCGCCTACTACCACCAATAGCCTCCCACCGGCCGGTACGCTCCCATAGAGAGGGGCTCCTCCGGGTGCCGTTGGCCAAACAATGCCGACTGGCGGCCCCCAGAGGGAGAGCCTTCTCTGTGGGGGCACCTACGATCTGGAATGAGCTCCCCCTGGAGATATGGAGGATCCCGGATCTGCGCACCTTCCGCCGCGCTCTAAAGACCTTATTATTTCACCAGGCGGGCCTGGCCTGATTTTCTCCCTCTTTTATGAAAGATTTTAATTTTTTAATATCTTTTAGTATTTTATATATTCAAATTTTACAATTGGTTTTAAATAGTTTGGGGTTTTAATTTGTCTGGGCCAAAACTATTTAATTTGATTTTAATTCTACTTTAAAATTTTGTATGTCTGTGTTTTATTGTTTGGCTGTGCACCGCCCTGAGTCCTTCGGGAGTAGGGCGGTATAGAAATCAAATCAAATAAATAAAATAAACCAAGGAGCAGCTCCAGATATGGTTTCTTGTTTTGCAGATCAGTTCTACTCGGTTCCTTATACAGATGACCAATATCCACTTGTGAAATACCTGCGAGAGCCCATTTTCCTTGAGGTTCAAGTACTTAACCGAAATGACCCAAACATCCATTTAATGTTGGAGAACTGCTGGGCTACCCTCTCCTTAGAACCTACTTCTTTGCCACACTGGAACATTGTGGTTGATGGGTAAATGGCCATTATTTTCTTCCTTTCTATTCATGTACTTACTTGTATCCTGACTTTGTTATTTTTCCAAACAACTCGTATTTGTAAATGTACCCAACCCGCTTTCTTCCTCCTATTTTCCACACAATAACAGTCTTGTGAGGTGGGTTGGGCTGAAAAGAGAGGGACTGGCCCAAAGTCACCCAGCTGGTTTTTATGCCTAAGGCAGGACTAGAACTCACCGTCTCCTGGTGATTGGCCCAAAGTCACCCAACTGGTTTTCATGCCTAA